GGGGTGCATGAGGCGGCTCTGCTGCTTCGCTTCTTCCTTCACCGTGCAGATCAAGTTCGCTGCCTGATGCAGCTGCACTGTTTGTCTCCGTCCAGGATTACAAATGAACTCCGTGCTCGGCTGTGGCACTGAAACCTCTTGTGCCTTTTTTCCAAGAATCGGCGATGAGTTGGAAAATCATCTCAGTGGTGGGGTTACCCCCTCCTCCCCGCCTTTAATTGCTCCTTTCAAAGGCAGCTCCGTCAGCCAGGCGCTCCCTTCCTCCCCCCGGCTCCTTCCCGGGGCTGAAGGACAATTAGTAATGTTCCTTTCTATTTATTCTAATTAGCAGTTTGCGTTAGGGACTATTAAGCAGCCAAATTGAAGCAATACCTGCCGCTAGGATCGGCGGAGCCAGCTCCCGTTAATGGGATTATCGGGCTTTAGAGGATCGGGGTCCCGAGGGAAACCCGGTCCTCTCCTGTGCTGGAGCGGACACCGACGCCGTTCCCGAGCTGTTATTGTCACCGTCAGCAGCGAGGAGCAAGGGCTTTAAAAGCACTGACCCCTCTATATGGAGTATTAACCTCTGGTACCGTGCTGGGGAGTCTGGCCCCAGGGGACGAGGTGCTGCTGGACCGTCACAAATCAAAAAAAAAGTGAGAAAGTAAAAATGAACAAAAAAAAGTCAAAAAAAGGCCAAAAAAGGGCAAAAAATAAGGAAAAAAGAAAATAAAAAGAGGAAGAAAAAAGAAAATAAAGATAGAAAAAAGAAAAGAAAAAGAGGAGAAAGAGGAGAAAGAGGAGAAAGAGGAGAAAGAGGAGAAAGAGGAGAAAGAGGAGAAAGAGGAGAAAGAGGAAGGAGAAAGAGGAGAAAGAGGAGAAAGAGGAGAAAGGGAAGAGGAGAAAGAGGAGAAAGGAGAAAGAGGAGAAAGAGGAGAAAGAGGAGAAAGAGGAGAAAGAGGAGCAAGAGGAGAACGAGGAAAGAGGTTTTTAGGAGAAAGAGGAGAAAGAGGAAAGAGGAGAAAGAGGAGAAAGAGGAAAGAGGAACGAGGAAACAGGAACGAGAGAAAAGAGGAAAGAGGAACAAGAGAAAAGAGGAAAAGAAAACACAAAAGGCAAAAAAATTGCAAAAAATGGCGCAAAAAATGGCAAAAATTGAAAATCATTTTAAAAATTTAAAAAATTTAAAAAAAAAAGAAAATAAAAAAAAATTTTAAAAAGGGGCTACAACACAGTGTAAACCCCTTCCCACCAGGGGGTTTTGTCTCTCCCCTCTCCACATCATTCCCAGTCTCCCCTCTTGGGCTGCTCCTTCTCCTTTCCACTGCCCCATTCCCACCCCTGCCCCGTCCTCACGCCGGCTCCGTTATCATGGTTATTTGGGTACGGATGGGCCTCAGGAGTGAAAGGCCCCTCCAGGGATAGACCTCGAGGCTGGGGTGTCCCTGCACGCCCCCCCAGCCCTACCCTCTGTGGTGCCGCTGCCGATGAAGAGTGCGGACGTGGGGGAGGTGACGTCCCCGTCTGGCGGCGAGGAGGAGGTTTCGGGGGGAGCCGAATAGCGGCCGCCTTCTGCCAAATCCTCGCAGGTCTTCTCATCCGCCTGGAAAGGAAACGGGGGGGTAAGGACTGCACTTCCCAGGGCATGGAAATGATAGGAAAAATATGGGGGGGGTGACCTGGAGGTTGGGGAAGAGGACGAAAAGTTTGGGAACCACCAAGTAGGACCAACGGCAACGATGTGGTGAGGTCCATTGGCCTTGCACCATTGGATGACCTTAAATAGGTCCTGTGAGCTCCTTTTCCCTCACTCAGCCTTCGTGGTTAACAGGGAACAAAGCTGAGTTTTCACTGAGAAAACACAAAGATGAGAGGAGGGGAAAAAAAAACAAGACCAAAAATAAAAAGATTACAAAAAAAAAAAAACCAACCCCAAAGCAGAACCAGATGTTTTGTTAGAGCTGATCTTTCCGAGACAAAGAAACTGGTTCATCCAATGTGGAGATAATTGTGCTAACAAGGACAAGGAAAAAAAAAAACAACCAAACGTATCACAAGGGCTAATTTCTTCATGCTCGAGAGTGAGTAAGAGTCATGCGTCAGGAGGCGGAGAAAAAAA